GAGAGTTAGTTTTCGAGGAAGCTGAGTTTACTTCTCCAACTTCCTGAGTGCTTGTGGGCAAAGTAAAAACTATGAAGAAACAACCTTGGGAAAGGACTTTCAGTTCTCAAATTCATATCATTTTATATCCACTGTGTCTTAGTTTAGAAGCTTGTGTTTATTTCTCGTTTCCACAAATGACAAACATTTCAGTTTGAGAACTTCTTTCATCATTTAGGCACATCCGATATTTTAAGGGGTGTGGAACCACTACAGTGGAATGTTTGATTTCATCATAGTTGTGCATTTTTGTGAATTGAGATGTGTTACTGAGAACAGCAACTACTTCTTCCCTAACTTGTGGATAAATGCTGTTTTTCTTGAATGTCATTCATTTATCCTCGTGGATGTAGTCTGTCGCTGCTATAAAGCCTCTCTGCTCCAGCTTTTTTTTATTGATTCTTTCCCTATTGGGCTCTTGTTGTTTTGACTGAATCAACAGAGCAGTGTTCTGTTCTCATTCATGATTTGTCTGCAACATTAGGTGTTTGATCATTTTTCTCTCTTCTCCTTCTTAGTATCACAGAGACTACTCCTTCCAACTGGTCTGACTTCTTTCTTCTGCTCTTTCTCCTGTCTTTCAGGCTCTTGTCTGGCTTGCCTAGTCCGCTGTGCTTTGGAGACTACTTCTGTGGCTGTGGTTAGCACAACTTTGAAAACAGACCTCAAACGCTCGATCTCAGCCTTTAGCTGTTGGTTTCATTTCATCAGCTTTCCTTTAACTCTTCCCTCTAACCTCTTACTTTGTTGCAGTCTGTCCTAAAAGGTTTTTTCTCTTCTCTCCAGATCTTTCTCACCACATCCTCTCACTTTCACCACAGATGATTGTACTGTCCTTTCCAGTGCCCCAAATTTTGCTCTCCTTCTAGTTCTCCTTTTTGTAGCCAGCGCTTGTCTGACTTCCATCTCTTATCGCCAGATCCACATTTTTAGCTTCCAATCCAAAACCTACATGCCTGTCTGTTATCTTTTGCCTTGATATAACCTCCTTCTGCCTCAGCCACCTTCTCCCTTTCTCCGTTCTCCGGAGATCGAGATGGATCTGGGTTGTCCCCACAGCCCCCGAGGGCTGCACCGAGGGCAAAGGTGTTCAATTATTAATCTAATAAGTTGTAACAAAACAATAGAGCTCATGTATTTAAACTGCATTGTCACATAATAGTTGTGCATAGGGAACTGGCCTTCTTGGATACAATGAATATTGTGGCCTACAGCTGTTTCCTTCTAAATCTTGTTTTAAAATGTTTGCAAAAGTCTGTATTGTGATATCCCGCTCTCATGGCTTTAGAGGACTCATGAAGTATTTCTCATACTATAGTGAGACAGACTGAACTCTGATGTTCCTCATGGTATCTGACTATAGTTTTCACTGACACCTTCCCCACTAATCACATATCTGTATTTCACAGAACATTAGTTAAGCTAAAAATTAAACACAAGTCCCAGAGATTGCATTGTGGCTGCATTAAGAGTTTCTGGAGAGCATCCCATTAGGTCTCAGTGCACTGCAGCCTTAAGATCTAATCATCATCCCTCTTTGGATTAAAAGGAACCCAAATAAATTGTTATCCTAATCTGTGTATGATCTTACAATATTTGACTTCCTGTAGACACAATCAGCACCCTGTCAAGTGTTCCCATAGCAAAAGTACATTTGCAGAGAAATAAGCCAAGTAATGGACCTGACAGGATGAGCAACCACTTCCTTTTGCATAGATACTTTGTACACTTAAGGGTACCATGTGACTGTGTAAGTGGAAAGTTCAAAATGAAGCTTTTTTTTTTTCTGGGGTTTTTTTTTTTGTTGTTCTCACAAGAGAATATACAAGAGAGGGATTTGGATTGATGCAGAGGTGGCAATTCACTTAGGGCTTTGCTTGTGTTGTAACATGGATTCTCACAGTTTGGTTCTGTGTAAACACTGCTGGGGTCCAGGGCTTGAGATGCACCTTTGCATTCACCTCTTGGGTGCATGGATAACATTCATAAATGCACTACGAGAGAAACAGTTCAGTAGGTTGCGTTGGAAAATACTGTATTTTCAACCTTTTTACTGTTAACATTGTAAATACTGTGTTAGCTCAAGTTAATGGCTTTTAAAGTGATTATGCCACTCTGAATTATGCCACTGCTGTTTTCATCATTTTTGAATTTGTGGTTTTGTAATGTGTCATAAAACATATCTAAATAGTCTTAGGGCCTCTGCTGGTTTTTCTCAGATAGGATATGGCATAATGCCTCACTTGGTTCCCTAAATACTTTACATGCTTGCAACCAGAGCTGGCTTTTAGGTAACAAAATGCTGGAACCTCACGAGGGGCGAGATACGTTCTGTGCTGTAGTCTGTGATCTCTGTGTTCAGTGGCCAGATTCAGTTTGATTTGAATGGGCCCAGGATTTCACCCTGAAACCCCAGGCCAGGGAAGCCATTGAGAAGCTGTAAAACACAGCTCTAACTTTCATGAATAATTCTTTCTGAAGTGAGTGCTGGCACTGCCTGGGATAGGACTGCTCCCGTAAGCAAAGATGATTTATGCAGGATATAAAATCTTTCTTAGACCAGATCCATGAGACTGGGTTTATAACTTCATAATGATCTGATCTTGCTGAAAGAGTCACCCAGTCTGTGGGTCAAACTGTCAAAGAAATCCCTGGAAAGATCTCCCATGAGAGGGATAACCATAGTGTGTTCCTACTCCTCCTGGGCTGGATTATTTCTGGGTTAAACCAACCCCCTTCTCCAGCAAAGTTGTGGAGAGGAACCTTGTCCTCTTCTTTGGGTAACAATTTGGGAAACAGCTTGCGTTGACTTATTTCCATACTTGTGTATTGTAATGTGGATTTAGAATATGAAAGGAAGGGATGCTTATCCCCCCTTCACTTTTAGTGAACAGTTTGCTTGTGGTTTGCAGCATTGCATCAGCAATGTGGTCACATATAGAGTAGTAAAATGACTGTTTTTACAACAGTTTCCCTTCTGTCTCTCTCAGGAAACCAGCAAACAGTACTAAACCTTCTGCAGAAATACCAGGATTGATTATAACAATGTTCTGGAGCTTGCTTTTGGTGTTAGTCATGCCACTACATCAGGAGGTGTTATAAATAAATAAATTAAACAAAACAAAACGTGACATGTTTTCTGCCTTCTAACCTGTAGAAGGAAAATGGGGATGGAAATCATTCAGCTCAACCTATGTAGGTGGCTTTGCATTCAGTTTACAAGCCATAATCAAGCCTTATTCAATCCAACTCTGAGTGGTCTTGAATTGCTTAAACCAATTATTAATTCATATTTTTTATTTAGGGATCTCTCTGTGGCAGGTCTTTCCTTTTTTCTTTCCCTGCCTGTACAAAAACAAGTATATGAGTGTAAGGATAACATGGAGTCATCAGGCAACAGACATATGCTTTCCTGTGCTCTCTGCAGGGCTTGCAGGTTCAAACACAACCTGCCTGAATCATAAGAACTTTAATTGAGTAGATAAAGAGGTCCTCATAATTATAAACTGCAGTAGGTATAACAAGAGGCTAAATACATAGCTGTGGTTTTAATTAGCTGGTGCTTCAAATTAGTAATTGTGGTTTCACTCAGAAATCAGTGACTTTATACACTGTTAAAGCCTCATCACTGTGCAGTTCATTCCTCATTATATCTCTCGGTGTGAAGCTTTCAATACAACATCATGCTGAGCTAAAAAGGCAAAAGTTGTAGATATTTGGTTATCTTCCAAGTGCAGTGGAGCTCTGTGGAGATTTAATTCATTCTCGCCAGAGATAGGAGAATTAACTGTTCTTTGTTACAGCTGTAATATGTATGTTTGTGTGTAAGCATTTGTACACAGAGGCTGTGTGTGGATGTGTGCATGCATGTCCAGCACCTATCAGGGAAATACTGCTTATTGCAGATAACATCAGGGCATATACCAAATCTGCTATTCAAATTGTCATCTGGAATTTGGTAGCTAATTAGCTGACACAAAGCAGAGCCAAAAGCCTCATAACAAATCAAATACGGGTTGGAAGCACAGAAGTGTCCCCTAATGCTTGTCACATGAGAGGTTGTCAGTGCAAGTTGAAGCATGCATCTTTTCCTTTCCTATTTTTTCCCTCTCCTTCAGGGTTTTAATTATATCTTTTCCCTCAGAGGAGCAGGAGGTAGTTTGTAAAGCCAAAAGACCAAAGTACTTCAGTGCTATTCAGGGGAGAAGTGAATGTGGTCTCTCAGCTTGTCATCTAGGTCTGGCAGGTGCACAAAGTAAGCTGACACACAGATAAGTGCCACTCACCATTGCTACACTGAGATGCTGGATTCTTTTCTGTGTGTTTGTATGTAGAATTTTATCTGATACTGGAATCAACTATCCCAAAGTCTCTTCTGGCAGCCTGCTGCTACAAAACCACTTTGTAACCCCCCCTTGACACCTACAGTGAAACTGTACATAAATTTTAACAAGAAGTGGGACAGAATTAGGTGGTCTAAACCACACATGGATGACCTGGAGCATTGGGATGGATGTTTAGTTAAATGGATTTTTAGATGTTGCTGTGCTTCCTTGACTTCACATTTGCTTTCTCTGCCCGTACACGCTCTGTGGGCACACGAGTGTGTGTGTGTGTGTTCACACTCATGTGTATGAACAGGCTGTTCATACAAAGACATCAAAGTATATTTTATTACTCTGCATAATACCCTGTTAGTTTGAAAACAATATTTTTCTCTGTTTTCATTTTAGAAGTGTACTGACTGGCCTACTGCCCAATTTTGCATAGTTTTATGATTCCAGGTTTAAATTTGGAAAAATTATTCAGTGGCTGCTTCTTTCTTTCAGAATTATCCTTGGGAATTGCATTGTTTCTGATGTTTTATGGCTATTACTGATACTTATGAACATGTAACTAAATTATGGAGGAAATAACGTGTTGTCCTTTCTCTCTTTCTCTTCTTCAGTCACTATGAACAAGACCGGAGTGCACTTAAGCGGAAGGAATGGGAGAGAAGAAACCAGGAAGTCCAGCAAGATGAAGATCTCTTTGCTTCAGGTTTTAACCTCTTTGGGGAACCCTACAAGGTAAGTTGCATTGTTATATTTTGCATTTTCAGAATGGCTTTTACAAACACAGATAAAGCTTCTCTTCACCTGCAAGAAAGGGAAGTATCACATCTGCCTTGGTGCTTATACTCTTGAATACACTGATTGTACAGATCAGCAGCAGAGCAAAGTGAATGTGCTGCCCAGCTTAGCATGCTAGCATTGGCAGAATCAGGAATTTTGGTTACAGTCCAGTTCAAGATTCCTTCCTCTATAAACACGTAGCAAAGTCCTGCAGTAGAAGTATGTGCAGCTCCTGTTTCTATAAGTGGGTTTATACAAAGCTAGCTATTAGTTCTTTTATTTTTAAGAAGAAAATATACGAGTTGTTAAAACCAATGTCCCCTCTATAAATAATGAGTTCATAAGCTTTTTTGTGCAATCATAACCATCCAAAGAAGTCTTTTGGGAGACTGAATCTTTGGGGAGCATAACAAGGGTATGAAAGGGACTTTTATGACAAGTCTTATTCTCTCTAAGGAGCCTTGCTGCCTGAGATTTTCATCACCAAGGGATGTCCCCCTTTATGATTTCTGCTGCTTTGATTTTCAGTAAGACATTCCCTAAAGAATTCATCAGAATGTAAATTTCCATATCTCTTTCTCCTCCCAATCAGTGACATCCATTGAAAGGCCACCACTTCATCTTTCCATTTTACATTGTTAGCAGCTGTAAGGGAAGATGAGGGCTCTTTGAAAATCACCCAGAAAGGAGGAGAAAAGACTGTCGTTATAATCATATGATGTCTAATAATTATAGACCACGGAAGTGTGGTGGATACACTTGACTCCAAGCTGTACTTTGGTTCAGGCTGACTTGAGGAGCAACAGGCCTTTCGTCCTTGAGGTGAACTTGCCTGCTGGAAGCCCCTGGCTGGCGTTCCAGGGAGTGAAGGTGTCTTGAAAAATATTTCAAAAGCCGGTTTTGAAACCCAAAAGTGCAAGGTAACCAAAGCACAGAACAAAATATCAGAGCTAAAATGAAGATGTCTCTCCCTACTCTCCTGACTAGCAACCAACTTCTTCACCCTATAAATACTGCCATCAGGGTGGGCCCAGTTTGATCTTACCCTGAAGTGCAGCTGGACTGCACACCAGATGACCCTCTACTTGAGCAGGGATGCCTCTCAAGGGGTAGAGATTCCTTCCTTACCCAAGGCAGGGAGATCCCTTACCCATGACAGATACTTGATAACTGACTGATACTATGCTGAATTAATCCTATGAAACATTGCTAGTCCATGTAGCTACTCAATATTATTGTAAATATTATATGAATAATTCCATTAGACTTAAACCATTGACCAAGTCTGAGGCTAAGATTGCATCCAGCCATGCTCAGGGTCCATAAGGAGTTTAGAGAGCAAGAGGTCTATTCTGAGCCTTCTGACTGATGGGAGGGTTCTCCTTAATCTTTGCATCTCTGATCTCTTGAATTAGAACCATTCTGACTCAATTTGCCTTTGCAGGTTTCTTCCATGCAGCAATTAAGAAGGTGAACCTTGGCATAAAACTTACTGCTGGCAATAAGTTTTAATGTCAAACCACTGTTAAACTTTGTTGAATTCCATTGAATTTATCAACCTCTGTCAAATTATTTTACCTCAATAAAACACGTTGCTGCTTCTCTCTTTTGAGTGAGGTGCATTCCACTCATCCATGACAGACATATTCAGCCAAATAAGGACTATGCATTGGATAGTTTGTTTGTGGGGTCTTTTTGATTTTTTTTTTTAATAAAAATCTAATAAATGCACTATTTCTGCTTTAAACCACATTTTAGCTTCTTTATGGGAATAATAACTTACTATGAACTGATTTTTGCATGTCAGGCACGTTTTCATTCATGCAAGTAGTCATTTGGATTTTAGTAGATAGACCAGTTTGCAAAACAGTGCAAAATTTTATGTCAGGAACTGCACACACGCAGCACCAATATCTGTTGTACTTCTTTCTTTTATTCCCAGACCTAGTGTCCTTACTTGTTTATCATGCCTTCCTCATTTGCTTCAACAGTATCTAGAGAAGGGACAGTTGGGGTAGGGAATACCACCACTGCTGGTTTTGATGTTTTAAAGACTGAACAACTGGCAGCTGTTTTTTGGGTTGCAGTAGGGTTGGGGATATTAAAAGTTGCTTGAAGAAAAGAGCTCAGGTTTTCTCATGGAGTTTGCTGCCACTGTGCATCACAAGATGTGTGGATTATCTGCCTTCATCTATCATCTCTCTGCTCTAGCTGTTACAGCATCTTTCTTTCCCTCTGTCAAATAAAACGTAGGTGTTCATTATAGTTTTGGACAAGTGCGTGTTTCTACATTGCTTCTTTGTAGTTTGTGTGTGTGCACTCACATGAAAAGAGATATTTACTTCTGTGGGTGTATAAAATACATTTGTGCACGCTTGTTAAAAGATAAATGCCTCCTTTAGAAGCTCTGCTGTCTCATGCGGGGAAACAACACCTCTGACAACGTGATGACATCCAGCATTATTTTGGGAAGGTCAGGCAGCGAGGGCTGTGTTGCTCTTTAATGCAAGTGGGTTGCAGGTCCTGCCTCTGAGCTCTGGTGCAACCTGCTCATGCTTGATTTTGCAGAAGGGATCAGAGAAGAGCCTGCAGTGTTGTGGCAACAGACACTTGAAAAGGCAATGCTGGAGTTTTCCTGAGAGAAGCTGTAATTTTACTACTGAATTGTTGATACCTTTTAATGTTTTGAATTAGTAAAGAGTTTCAGAGATGAGTATTTTAAAAGAAAACAGTAGGAGCATTTTTGTTACTTTTCAAAGGAATTGCCTCAGAAGAGTTCAACTTGAGAAAGAGAACCCAATGGGCAGCATTTCCATTGTGGAGCCTTTGGTGAATGTTAAATCATTTATCTTTTTTCAGGTAAAGCCCCTCCATGCTTTTCAAGCTTAGCATAAAAAAGATCTCAGCTTCTAATCCGTGGAGGTTAGTTTAACTATGAGGCATAAGAAAGTGAATGAATTATGAAACCTCAAGTTTCATACAAATTTTCACAAAACCCTTGTAAATTGGGCCTGTAAGTTTGAGTGCATTAGTTCTTTTCTTTGTAAAACTATAATGCAATAGCTAGCTAGCAAATTAGTCTTCCAGTAGGATTCTGTACAGATAGTTTTTGAAAGAAATAGGAGCAAATGCAGGAAGGTGTACATTTACTAAACTAACAGGAGCCTAGAATAAGGGGGAAGGCTACTAACCATGATTCATAAACTAGGGGTATAATTTATGCCTTGGAATACTCAAAATGCTGCATTTCCTTGATAGAAACAAAATTGTGCTTCAACATGCTGTTCAGAAAACAAGATGTACAGGGGTTTCCTTTAAGAAATCAGCCAATTATCTGGAATATGAAGGCAGAAATTGTCCCCAATCTGGAAGTAACAAAGAGCAACAAGAAATTATGACTGGATTTTGTGTTTCTCTTGCTGGTATCCAGGTTTGTCAATAATACTGTGCTGCTCATGAGAGCCCTGAATTTGTTGTGGAAATAAAGTAAAAACATTAATGTTATCCCTTATGTCTTAAATACAGATAGTGCAGTGCACTACTTGCCTGAACTCGTTCAGATTGTGAAGCACAAATCTGATGTTGGTTCTGTGTGCTCTAGTTTTATTTAGGTGTAAACCAAATTACCACTCACATTCATAATGTGTTGTTTTGCTTTGCAGTCTGGTCCAAAGGCCACTGAAGAGAGTACTTATCCTTCCATTGACTTAAATAACCATTGAATATGAGCTTTAGTGCACTTAAAATATGCTAAGGATGTTTAAAATAATTTAATCTCCATGGCTTTCAGTAAATATATTTATTAATGTTCCCAGTAAATGACTACAAAACCCAATAATACCTAATATTTCTATAGTGTCTTTTATTCCCAGGATGTGAGCATTGTGCATAAAATAGAGTTAATATTGGGAAAAATTATATTTATCATTATGTGACATGTAAAAGAAAATAAGTTGAGAAAATCAGATACCTCCAACACAAAATAATTGAAAAGATCTACATTGAAATTAAAATATTGATTCCCTCTGTGAGGATCTAGACAAGCACCATTTAATGTGCTGTGATGTTGAAGTGTTTCAGTGATGGTATGTTGTCAGTACTTTTTTTTTTTTAACTTCTGCCTTCTGGAAAATAAGCTAAATGCACCCTGGAAATGTAGCTGAACCACAGAGGGGAAGGTTGGTGGTCAGGCTTTTCTCAGTACTGTTACTTCCCATGTGCTATCCCATAAGGAGTTAAAGTGTTTGGGGAAGGAGGAAACAGAACAAGTATGTAAGTGTTTAGACTTCGAATCATAATTCCTGCTGGGCCCTTAAGCACAATGGAATCTCCTTGTTTTAAATTTGGGGGTTGAACAGAGAGAGCCTGGTTTTGGCTGCTGCCCAAACAACTCATTGTGCAACTCAGTTGAAGGAGACTGCTCATATACAAAGAGCTTATTCTTGGCTTAGCTAGAATATAATTTTTGCCACTAAAATGACCAACCTAGGGACTTAGTTAGTGAATAAAAGTGATTCGTGGTTCTCCACAACTGGGATCATTAACTGTGTCTGTCAGGAGCACTGGCAAAATATATATAGATGAGAACAACATTGAACAGTTAATTTTTAAATCACTGCCTCAGTGCAGTGGTAATATATGTTAGAATCCCTTAGGATGAGCAAAAGCAAATTTGCATTTATTATCTTCTTTTTAAACATTTTTTATGGCATGTGCAGTACTAAGGAAAAAAAAAATCTTTCTGCAGTATTCTTCTCATCTTCTGACTTGTTCAGCAGTGGGTAATAGAAGCAGGTATTTCAGGAGAAGTGCATGCATGAATTTTTTTCATCTCTCAAACTTCTGCTTAATACTTGAGGAAAATGGGATCAGGGGCATGATAGGATCCCTTGTTGAGGAGTCTGACACTCTCTAACCAAGCACAAGCTCAAAGTTCTGCCTTTCCTCATCTTTATGACCTGGTGTTAAGGTGCTGGTGGACTGTGGCACTATTGGCTTTATTGAGTGAAAAAACAAACAACAAGTATAAGTATGGTTGACTGTATCATGACATAGCTTTGACATTTAATTCCAGACTGTAGAAGTTAACCATCTGCCTAAACAGGAACTATAGTTTTTGTTTTTATCCTTTGAGTCTTGTAAAGTACTAAGCATAGGGAATAAGATGTTTTAGTTCTCTGCTGGTCATTTCAATGGAACAGAAAGGTCAGTGAGAAGGCTGGTGCTTTGGGTCTCTGTGGGGTGAGTTAGAACAGGAAGAGAGAGGAAATTAGCTGAGTATTAATTATAGTTTCCAGCTTATTTGTCTATCTTTTTACAAGTGAAAGGGAAAAGGAAAAAGAAACTTCATACTTCAAAAGAAAAAGTATAATAGCAGTGAAACACAGATGAGTCAGTATTTATTTAATAATTACTGGAAATAAAAAAAAAAAAGCAGGATTAAAAAATACAACCAGACTGCAGACAGCGGAAGAATCCCGATGCTTAAGAATGTGGCAATCATGTCTGTTTATGTTCTGTGAGAAAATATTTTTGAATTATCTTTTTATTTGAAGCTACCGTAGCATTTGAGTGGGTAGAAGCTTTTTCTTTCCGGATTCAGATGGTGGATACTTCAGGTCAAACTGAACCTTCTATGGAAAAGTAATTGGAGTTAAACTGGAGTGAAGAGTTTGGCACTGTTACAGGCTACCCAGCTTCTATTTATGGCAGGACTGTGGGTCAAGGGGCTGATAGAGCAATAACATACTTAAATACACTGTGTGATTGCAATTCAAATGCTCAGTAGCCAGTAATTGCACGTTCGTGTTTTGCACGATATGGAATGTACAAGCCCAACATCTCTGACATAAACCCAGCTTATTTTGAGCCTAACATCCATAACTGATGCAATTTAAACACTTCTCTGAGAGCATATTTAAGAAAATGGGAAGCAGTATACAAGTGTTACTGATGCAAGCCTGTTTCAAGAGATTCTTTGAACACAGTTATTGATAGGTTTTTCTTACATAACATATGCAAAATGTAATTGAAATTTAATTAAATGTCAGCATGACACCATTAAACAGCTAACATTTGCCATCTTCTAAGACAACTATTCTGAGTAGTAACTTGTAAATCAGGAATTTACTCACGCTTTTCTTGGTCTCTTTTTTTTTTTTGATATTTTAGACAAATAAAGGCGACGCCCTTGCAAACCGTGTCCAGAACACATTGGGAAATTATGATGAGATGAAGGATCTGTTAACCAACCACTCCAACCAGAGCCACCTTGTAGGAATCCCAAAGAATTCTGTCCCACAGACACCCATTGACAAAAATGAACAGAACTTTTTTCCAGAACCGAGAAACAGGATGATCCCATCTCATCAGATCAGCGGCAATTCATCGACATCAATGCCTCCTCCTTCTTCATTGTCATCAAACTCTGCTTTGCTACACAGTCACCAGAGCAGCAGGAAGTCGAGGACAGACTGGTCACGTGGTGGTCACAACTCTAGTGGGGCCCAACCAAGCCAATCCAGCGGTCAGCAGAGTCGGACAAAGCACAGCTCTTCCCATGACCAGTCACAGGGCAGGTATGAAGACCTCTATAACTGTCAGAGTGAGCAGCATAAAAGTGGAGGGACTGAGGATGCAAATTCCATGGCAACATCTTCACATTCGAGGAGGCATGCTCATGCAAAGTCAGCACCTGGAGAACACTCTTACAAAGAAAACAGTCATTCCAAGTCGCCCACCGAGCTGGAGTTTGTAGGCCATGGTCCTGGCTCTCCGCTTCCTTCCACTTCTTTGTTAACTGCAAACAATGGTCTTTCGACTCAGAATTTCCCACCAGGACTTCACTGTAAAAACAGCATGGTCCAGCAAAAGCCTACAGCATATGTCAGGCCTATGGACGGTCAGGACCAGGTACCCAATGACTCACCTGAACTGAAACCCCCACTAGAAATTGAGAGTGGATATGGAAATCAGTCCTTTGGAACACTGCTGGAAGGAAAAGTGAACACACCTAGTTCGAAGAACAAAGTACCAAAGCTCAACATTCCTCCTGTTAGTGAAGTAAGTGGTTTAAAATATCTTCTCTCTAGTACTGCTTGAGTATTTCATTCACTAAATATTTTTCTCTGGAAATATGAAGTTGCATTTCCTGGAATTACAGTGTAAAACATTCCTTCTTCTGGAATGTGCATGACTTCTTTCAGCAGTTTGTTGTGATAGTCCCAGTAGCAATATTTAATGTGGTTTTTAAAGCAGGTTGGGATACTGACGTTGCTTGTTTATGATTAATATTAAAAGGCTACATCTCTGTTGGGTATAATATACGTATACCAGCTATACCAGTTCTGGACAGGGAACTCTAATATCTCAGTTCATCTGCAATTTTCACTCTTGCATTCTCAGGTAGGAGGTAGTTTGACAGACAGATTGCTGCTTTAAACTCTAAGGAAAACCAGCAGTGTTCAAATTTCAGTGGTGCTAAACAGTCCTACCAGTAAGGAATTTATTTGCAGAGTTTGCTAAATTTCTACTGCTTTTAATGGAATTAATGTGACTTAAGTTCTGAATAATGCTTATGAAAATGTGTCCCACTGAAACTCTTATGCATTTTGAGGAGCCCTTACTACTGGGATTCAGTCCCAATCTCTGCAACCAACAGTTTGAGCTGTTGAATTCTGCATTGCTGGTCAGTACAGTAGTCCTGTGAGGAACATTTAAGTTGGTTTATATTTTTGTCTATTCCAAACAAAAATCTATAATAAGGATACTATTTATACTCTGAATACTTTTCCTTTTATTCTGAGTTCCTCCAAAACAGTAACCTTTGCAAGGTAGGTGTACAGTGTGCTTATGAGCAGAATTGCAAGATGGCTTTTTCATAGCTTTCTGTTTTCTCCACAATATTTCCCTGCTTGGTAATATTTTTATACTGGGAATGAGGAGCGATGCATTCTTAAACCACTTTATTGCAAAAGGTCAGCTTTTTCTGTTGGAATAATTGTTTCAAGCCAATAATTTGTTTGACTATTTAAAAACTTGATGTTATTTATTAACATTCCAGGCAGCAACAAAGACTGATGTGTTTTGCAGTAGAGCTTGGAATAATTTTCTGGGAACTGCATCTGAAAACAGTAAAAGGCCTATTTATATCAAGTGGAAGCTGAGGGTTGCTTGCAGATGGTGTTTTATTAGAAAATGTATTTGTTAATAAACGTAGCTTTCTGCAAGATTACTTTACAGATGTTTCTGTTTATTTTTACCTTGGGTTAAAAATCTGCTGGTATAGATGGCTTCAGAGCCTGTTGTGATTTGTCACTAGCATTGTTTGGCGAGAAAATAATTACATGCAAAGGAAATAATGATGTTGCAAAAGCAAATACTTTTTTTCTCTCTCACCATCTATTAACACTGTGAGTCAATAGAGGCACTTCAAAGTGCAGCATTAATACAGCGTATTTTTGGAAATAAAATGTACCTTTTGCAATTTGTGTCAACGCTTAAGAATGCATTTTTAATTTTTTAAAATTTCTGAGTGAAATCCTGGCACTATGAAATCAATTGAGTTGTTAGCAATGTTTTTTTGGGTGCAAGATTTTACTCTCAGTATTTTTGCCCAGCTCTAAGAACCTCTGATGTGAACTGTTGTTTTTGGACGGACTCCTGGTTGCACAGATGAAAAATTACATTATGAATATGTTGCAACTTCAGTTTATATCCTGCACAGTAAAAAGTATAGGTGTATAATTAATTTCATTTGTGTTCAGATAAATGTTAAACTGTAGGCACTTTAGAAATGAGCATAGATAATAACGCTAAAGCAGCCTGCGTTGTGAGAGCGAACAATAATTTGAAGAAGGAAAGAAAATTCAAAGCTGTGGCAAAATAACTTTCCTTTCTGAGGCAGAACATAGGACAATAGCCAGACTGATGTATCTTTTTCAGGCAAATCTCCTCCTGAGTTTGGAGGGTTGGATTTTTTTTTCGCCTGTGTCAGGACTGTGAACTTTGGCCCTCTGTGTTTTTCCACAGATGTGTATCCTGAATTTGATTTACCTTGCGTTCAGCAATAAAACTCCTTCCAATCCAACATTATAGATAACTGGTTTAGTTTAAGCTTAATCAGAACTGACAGTGCACACCTGTGAAACCCATAACCTTTTCAGAATGACTGCAGCGAGTGGCTCTGTTGTAATCTTTATACAATTGATGTGGAGGCTTATGATCCTTTGGTGGTGCTTATCAATTTATGAACCTTCCCTAGCCACCTTGAGCCATAGTGATCTGCTTGAAACAATTTTGTTCCTGCTCCACAGATTTCCATCTTAACTGTTCCAGGTGGTGGTGGTGATCTTCTTCAAGCTAGGAATAGGAGAGTTACTTTTTTTGGACCATTCCACTATAATTTGTACTGTGACTTTCCTGTATCTCTGAGTCCATCTTTTCAAGTTGCTGAGTGCATTCATAGAGATTGCACACCAAACAGTTTTCAGTGATTTCCCCCAGAATTTTGCTTGCTCTTAAGATGAGGAATTATGTGAAGAAATAAGATGCCCAGGTGATGGTCCTGAAACAATGGCACCCATTAGGACATGCAAACTTGGGAAAGAGAAAGACAGTTCTCACTATCTTTAGGAGGGGGAGGAGAATAAGTAACCAAATATTTGAACTAGTAGGTTTAAAAGAAGTGCTCAGACTGATGTGGAAATATGGTCTCATTTATCATGGCTTAATGGAATAGGATGTTGAGTGCCCTGGAAGCATTCTGCCATGTGTAAGGAAGTGATCAATTTTACAACATAATTTGTGTCACTTGAGGTGTTGCTCTAAGAATCTTTGCTCATTCTCTGGGCCCAATTCTGCCCTCGGAGATGCCCATCCATCTTTCAGCTCCTCTGGAGGAGACAACATTGTTAATGCCTCGCTGCTGGCGTGTCTCCGCTCTGCGATGGATTGTGGTTTAGTGCTTCCTGGGTTTGTAGACACTCACAGTAAGTTCACACACACTCACCAGATTGGGTCAGGATGTAGAGTTAGCAGCTCTTACACACCTGTGGACTAATCCTTGCCTGTGAGTGGATGCTGTTGTGTGATTTCCAGAGCTGATTCACCCACACAGAGCTAGTTCAGACCTGACTGTACCATGCGTGGCCATTTCTGGTAGAGAAATAGAACTAGCAGAGCCTCTGTAGACTTTTAGTTATTTCTCTGAAGGATTTCTTTGTGATTTTGTGATCCTTTTAACCTTTTCATTTGTTTTTCATACCAGTACTGTTTGCTAAGGGTGAAAGTAAAACATTTCATGGCTTGGTGCCTTGAGCAGCACCCAGTGTAACCACTAATGCCCAGGCCTGGCAGCCTCTGAGGTTCCCAAGTTGTGAAGCAGATCCTTCTGAACTGGGGAGCCACAGGGCTGTCATGTGAGTTCAGGGGGACATGCAGAAATGCCTACAGATCTCATGACATGACATAGAGTTGATAACAATGGCTGTGGATCTAAAACTGATAGAGCAATTATAAAAAACCTTAAGCTGTAAACATTATTTCCTGCTTCTTATTAACTCTCATCTCTTCAGTGTGTATTTACATGCATACTTACATACACATACATATATTAATTTTGAGCTTGCATTTAACATTTGGTAAATTGTGGCAAGCCTGGAATATCACAAAGAGCTTTTGTGTTATGTAGAATTCCACCTACTTAAATTGTATGATGGCAGATGATTGTTACTTGCCACTTGAAGAGAACTCCGCAGTTAAATCCTATGCATTTCTTCAAAAAAGTAGAGGTTAGAGACCACAATAACAGCTGATCCTCTCTCTGCTGCTTTAAAATCCAGAATCTTGATACATGTATGTATATTTAAACCTCTGGGAATCAGATGCTTACAAATTATTTCAAATCGCCTAACGCAGCAGGGGATGGCTGAAGGAAAGCCTGTACTTTGCAGATTGGGCTCGAACACAAATTACTGAGAGTACTGAGTAAAGCAAAGGGTTTTAAGGTCTGTGGGAATGTCAGAAGCTGCATTCCCGGAAAACCTTATGCACAGTTCCCCCAAACGAGGCATGGATTTCCAATAAATGTTTAGGGGTGGGGAATCAAGAGCAATTGAGATAATTTTTGATTCTCAAGGCAGAGTTTTTAAATCTCACCGCAGAATCGGCTTCCTGTTTCTATGAAGTAGCAAATGCTCATGTACCAAATTTTCCCGAAAGTAAAAAGCTAGGAACAAATCCAGAAGGCCTACGACATCTATGTCACCACCCACTTAAGTAATAAAAAATGGAGAACTTCTATTTTCACTTTACTTCTAGGAAAATATTTTGACGGGTTCAGTACACTGCGAAGTGATAAGCTTCTGTTACGTGCTTCAAATCATTCTGTTATCGCTGCATGTATTGATTAGCTTAGTGCTTTCTGAGCTAGCTATAAAAAAAGCTGCTCTCTTTCTGCATTAAAGAGCAAGAAAAATTGACAGGTAGATAACCATATTGATTGAACCTAAATAGTAAATGCAAGAGGCTTATATATGACTTCTAAAACTCTTTATAGGAACCAAAGCCAGTATAATATGGGGGGGGGGTTTAATTAAATGGAAAGTAGATGCCTTTAATTAACCAGCCCCACCCCTTTTTGATATATGTTACTTTAGTTGCCAACTGTAGTACATTACCACAGTTGTGGGCAAATCACTTTTTTTCAAATGCCAGCTTTAGCTTGTCCCCCAGACACTTGGAGCTTGGAAGAAGAATGGGCTGAATCACACATTAAGCTGAAATCCCTTTGCTTGGTTCATGTTTCAAAAGTCTGAGGCCAGAAACAAACCCAAAGAGCAGTATTTCTTGCAGTATTAGAGGTTACAGCCATATGTTTTTAATTTGTAAATACTGTGAGAAGTAATGTTCTTGTGATATTTCTAAATGAAGACCATATGACACCACTCGACTGAAGACCTCTTATTGTGGCCTTTTGAAGGCTACTGTCCGATGGCCTGGACAATGGCTAGCAAAGCTATTTTCCAGGGATAGCAAGAGGACAGCTTGTCTATTTTAAATCA